TGCTTCTCATAAAAATGCATGGTTCACAGATGGATCAAGTAAAGTAGTAGGAAATATCACTAGATGGAAAGCTGTGGCATATCGACCAAGTGATAATAAGATCTTAGTGAAGGAAGGCTCGGATGCCTCAGCACAGTTAGCAGAACTCTGTGCAGTAAAATTGGCCGTTGAACAATCTATCCATGAAAAGAAAAAGTATATACACGTTTTTTCGGACTCATGGGCAGTTTGTAATGGTATTGCCATATGGTCTGCAAAGTGGAAGGAATCTGATTATAAAATTAATGGAAAAGATGTATGGGGAATACATATTTGGAAATTTCTTGCGGAGGCACCTATACATGTAAAGATAGCGCACGTTGATGCTCACACAGGACGTACAGATGAAATATCTAAATTTAATGATGTGGCAGACAAATTGAGTAAATTTGATTCCGAAGGGCTAAAATTGGTGAATAAGGCCCCTTGGAAAATATTAGATAAAACAGATACAAAGATTCGGTTGAAACGTGACCCAAATTGGCATATAAAACTTCCTGAATTGAATGCTGATATTTCGGAGGATGAGATCCGACAATTGCATAAGGAATTAGGACATATTGGAACACATGGAATGTTCCAGTGGTTTCAGGGCAGAAATATAAAAGTTACCTGGGGAGCATGTAAGCGTGCGATATCTGGATGTGAACTATGTGCATCCTCGGTGCAACGTTTCCGGAGAGATCCACCCCACAATAGACCATCCCCTAGAGGATTTAATGAGAAGGTACAAATTGATTATATTGGTCCTTTGCAGAATGGAAAATATGTGTGTACTATGGTAGATTGTAGTACCGGATTGGGACATGCATGTGCAAGTAGACATGCAGATCAAAGCTCTACTATGAAAACTATTTGGAGCTGGTGTGCAGCATATGGATGTCCTTGGAATGTGACTTCTGATCAGGGTTCTCATTTTACTGGTAGAAATGTTCAGAAATTAGCTGACGTTTTAGGAATTAATTGGGATTTTCACTTGGCCTATAATCCACAAGCAGCAGGAAATATTGAAAGGTTCAATGGATTATTAAAGACTAAATTGTGGCAGATAGGACAAGATGTGCCATTTGACAAGGCAATACTGATTGCAGTTTTTGAACTTAATTCTAGGCAAAGACTGCACAGGAGATCACCCTTTGAGGAAACATTCCAAAAGGACATCGATGTGCAGGCAGACGGGGACCCAAACCCAGATAATATAAGACCATATAAGGTGTGGATACGTAACAGAAAAGATAACTCTGTGATTAAAGGTGAGATTGTATCACACGGACAAGGAAATACCCTATGGGTATCAACTGGAAAAGGGGACCTCAGATTAGTAAAAAGCCAAGATGTTGTCACTAGGTAAACGTTTGTGTGTTTGGTTTAACATATGCTTTATTATCCTGATTGTATATTCTTGCTTGTTTTTGGGTGGATATTTTTATTGTAACGAATGGCAGACAGCTCTTTTGAATGGTTCTACTTGTTTTATTAACGTGAATCATAAATTGTTGGTACGGGATTTGCTACCCTGTTATGTACTTAATTATACACTATGTTTCTGGTAATGGCACCTAGGACTTTGTTACTTTTGCTATTTTTGCTACTTTTGATAGCCCTGCAGTTCTATTCAGTAATGGGAAATCAAACTACAACTCCCACTACTTTTACTACTACAACTCCATATTATTTTGGTATCAGGAACATTAACCTGACCAAGCATTCTTACAAAGAATGGATCTTTAATTATATTAATTTCACTCATTCACTTCAAGAGTGTAATAATTCTTGTGCAGTAATACCACAATATTGGAAAAGTAACAAATTCCTACAAAATTTTACTGCTATTAGATACCTGTTTTATCATAATTATGCATTTTGCCACCATTATAACAAATACTCCGCACCTAAGGGGTGTGACCATTTTTGGGACATCAATACAGTTGGGGTATATAGCCCAATGTTTAGATCTAGTGCGGATGGAGGATATTCTAATAAATATGAAACTAACCCCCTCCGATGTCATCTGGTACCTGGGATTATGGATATGTGGTCTTATAAGCCACATTTTGTGTATTATTATAGGAAACTTGGAGGCAAACCTTTAGTTAAAAGCTATAATGCTACAGCAGCAGTGCTTAATAATCCAAACCTTACTGTATATACTTTTGAGGAGTCTACAGAAGAGAATGACTTTACATGTATAAAAGCAGCAGAAAAGGATGTTGCATCACTGCCTTTTCAGGTTTGGGTGTCCAACAAACAGAATGATTATAATTTATTCGATTATGAATATGAAGAATATGACTATTCTTCATATGATGATGGAGAAGAAGAAGGTTCTGGTGAATTTACAACTACAACCCCACGAACAACTACGTTGGGGATAAATTTGTTGCCATATAATGATTCTAAGAAAATGTTGGATGAGTGGAAAGGATTGCCTAGACATTTACAAGGAGCTAGGCCATTGCCTAGATGGCCGCAAGTTTTAGTTGAACCCTACGGGACATGGTGTCCAAAAGAGTTACAGCAGTATCTAGATTCCATGAGCACTAAACAAAGGAATATGTCTATATATATTGAAGATGTGCAAAGCAGAACTCATTTGAATTATACCCATTATGTATCTTGTGTAGCGGATTTTCCTAATTTACCTATATATGGAAAGTTCGAGATTCTACAGAATCCTGATAGATCCTTAGAAATACGGAACCAATCTTATCTTACTATAGATAATTGGTGGAAAGTCAATACCTTAGGTACCGCCACTTGGCGATCACCTGTTGTGTTGACCGACCCTTTACCACAGCCATTTACCCATAACTTGGTTAAACCCGTGGCCACACCTCCTAAAATAAAGGATAAAATCGGGTATGTTTGTATCCGTAGCATTTTTGGAGATATGCTTAACCGAACACAGGGACAAGCATTTATTGGTAGAGTTTGCTTCCCTGTTGATTCAACCTTCCTTAAGTGGTGCCAATATAGATATTATTATAAAATTGGTAATTATTCATCTGTAACTTATAAGATTCACACACAGGCCTGTAGGCTGGGTCCAGTTTACAGGACGACTGGGGTATTACATCCTGAATTTGGAATGTTTAATCACTCTGGATGGCTATTATTTGAAAACAAAACAAGGAGGTATGTCTTTAAAAATGCCAATAATGAATGGGACCTCTCAGAGATTGTGGATGGCCCGAAATTGGGACAGAGAGTGCATAGTCCAGGGTTACATGATTATAAATTCACCGTGGACGAATACATTGTTAACCAGACAGTGTGGAAAAACTACACACAATATTATAATATATTTAATTGGACATGGTGTTATAATTTTAGCAGACAAAATTGTGTACAGAATCCTCTTCATGCTGTATATTTGAATGCCTCTCATATGCATCTTGAGGTGAATAATACGTGGCATAGGTTTGATAATCAGTCCTGGCAACCTGTATTGGTTGTCACACCTAAGGATATTTTGGAAAAACACTTTTATAATGTTACATTTCTGCAGGTAGATTATACTTATAATGGATCTAAAGGAGAATCTTCAAAGTGGCCTTATTATAAATGCGAAGACTGTACCTTTAAGTTTTATGATAATTTCTTTGGGACTTTGATTCCCGTGTTTAATTTGAGTGATGACAAAATCAGAGTGAATGTCCATAATATGTCAATCCCGATGGGAGTTGATTCTAATTATGTGGACACTAAAAATGTTAGTTTAGCTATGGAAAGATCTATTTGCAGATGGTTTCCACATTCATGGCAATATGTGATTGGTATTCATAGGTCTATTATGCATAATGATTCCACGTACTATGATATTCCTCTTGATGTAAATATAACTGGAAATGTTTCCAAACATTATGAAGGTGGTAATGTTGTATTAGGCAATGAGGAAAAACAAACGAGGGATTATACTTTACATCCAACAGTATATTCTCTTGCATTTGTACCACCAGATTTGGATGAAGTTACTTTAGTGAATTACAAAACAGAAACTTACCTGGTAAATGCTGATGACTACTGGTCATTGAAGACTGGGTGCCCTAGAGCACAGCTCTGGGATACTATAATTAGATACCATGTGGATGTAGCAGATAGAAGAACTCTGAAATGGTGGTTGACACAAGGAATGGATTTCTCTACTTGGCCTAGTAAAATATATCCAGGAAAATTACCTTATTACTGGTATATGTTATTACCAGGAAGTGAAAATGACTGGAATCTTTATGATATTGTAACACATGATGTTTTACATAATAATACTGATGTGTTTGATGCACATGCAGGTAATCATATTATATATAGTACAAAGATGGATATGCAGAAATGCTACATGGAACCGACCTCTTTGAATCCTTGTTTAATCGATAGGGGAGGATTTAATGAAACCAGGGGATGGGTTACTGCCCATTTCCCAAGAGCAGTCCTCTTCCCACGCAAGGAAAAGGACGGTAATTTTATGAAGACCTTAGAGGCTCCAGGATTTTTACCTTTACTACATCAGCCAGTTAGATTCTTGATACAACCACAAGTACAGCCAATTGTGTTACGTTTGTCTGTTAGTGATTTGTTGAAAGGTGAAACTGTATGTCCTTCTTTTGAGTCTACTGTGTTGCCAGATTTGTTTTATTCAGTTCAAAGAAATGCAGCAGGACGGAGACCTTTGCAGTTCGCAGCGATTGGCGCTTTCCTGGCCGGAGCAGCTTTGGGGGCAGCAATCGCTGGAGCAATGACGGAGGAACTTCGAGTGGAAATTTCAGCTCTTCGAGGACTTCAAAATAAACAGAACTTTGTTATCTCACAATTATCTAAAAATCTGCACTCCACATCTTTACTTATGGAAAGACTTTCTGCAGAACAGGAACTTTTGAAACATCATGTTGATTCATTAAGTAAGGTGATTGAGACTATGGATGCATCATGGAACGTACGCATGAAACAATTGGAGGCAACTCAGGAGTGTGAACATCTACAGGCAATGATCACCGCGGGATTAGAAGAAATAAGACTGTTATTTAGAACTGGCATAGGCATGGAAACTGCATCAGCTATAACCATATTAGATCCTACAAAGGATTCTTGGTGTGAAACTGGCATCTGTATGATTAATTTATGGCAAATGTCAACATCTAAGGTTGTAATAGGATATCCAACTAAGGCTATACCGAAGAAAATTGGTAAAGATTGGATAATACCATTTGATAAGTTTTATTGGTTAAAATGGAACAATATGTCATATTATGTGCCTAGTGAAGCCACTTATGCGATAGGTAAAACAACTGTTATAGCTTATGATCTTTTCTCAGATGAACCTAGGACTTCTGATATAACTATATCTATGCCTCAAGCTACTTTGTTAGATCTTGGGAATTTTAATATGTTGTCTTGTTATCCTGAACCGTACATGGTTCAACGATGGCAAAACATTTCTTATAGTGATTCTTTGAGTCTGAATGCTGGTTGCCATATACATACTAATGTCATGATGATGGAACATATGAATTTGACCGTTCAGAAACATCTTTTTAGGAGTTTGAATTTTACTAACACGAGAAATGTACGAGTCCTGACTCAGGTGGTTTATTTGTCTAATCATACTTTTGGGCTACATACTTTTGTACCCCAGCCACCTCTGTCGGAAGAATATAAACATATGATGAAGGCGACGGAGGCAGCTAAGTCCATTTATGCTTCATTGGGAAAGGAAATTGAGACAGTACATAATCAAACTACTGAACTTCTCCAAAGATTCTCAGGAGAAACTCATAAAGTTAAAATGTTGGTTGATTCCGGATACTTGATTCCGCGTGACTTTCAGTATACTTATGATTGTAGTTTTGTAGGTTTCTTTAGAAAATTAGTTCATGCAGATATTAGTTGCATTATGAGATGGAACCCTTTCCATTGGCTTAAGGAAGGATTGCTATATGTATGTTGTTTTGTATTATTTGTATTATGCATTAAGATTTGTCTAAAGATTAATAAGTCTGCAGGAAAGAGAACTTACATTAAAATGGATAAACTTCAACATTACAGGGACCATGAAGCGAAAGGCACTAAGGAAATTAAATCCAAGAAGGAAAAGGACGGAAAGATCGAGGAATTATTCTGAACAGTTGCACTATGCAAATTGTCATCTTTGCATCGAATTTCATGTAAATACATGGTTTTTATATAGTGCATATACACTGTTTGGGCAGGAACGTTTTTCTCTTTTATGTAGACTAGTAACCTTACGCAGTGGACCATGGTGTCCACTGGATAGGACCTTGGAAGGCCAAGTGCCCTCTTTGTGTGTGTTTTTGAATCATGTTTGGAATTGTATTTCTGATAATAATTTGCATTGTGATGTTTATTGTAGATATAATATACATTTGTGTGTTAAGACTTTATTTGGACTGTTCACTGAAGTGATGAAGTCTGATCATGATTTAGTAACCTTACATTCTAATGCAGGTGCTTTTTATGTTAATGGACTTATTTCACTTAACTATAATAGATCATTATTATTTGGTGATGCTGTATTGTGTAGAATCAATTCGCAATGCAGACAAAGGAATACATATGTTCCTAGATCTTTATTTGACATATGTTTAAGAAACATTTGTAAGCCTTACTTTATTAAATTATGGACTTATGTGGATTACCATCAACACTTACCTAAGATTGGTTAATATTATAGAATTTCTTGAGGAACTATGTCTGTGGACCAGATAATCATCAAACGGATATTAGGACGCAAGCTGAGGAACGACCTATTATTCAGGAAGGACCGGATGACTCCAATTCCGATGTTCTCTGAAAAAGATGTTAATTATCCATTTATGATAGTTCACAATTTGGTGATAGATTTGGATCTAGTAAAGGATTTGGATTTGGACCTTTATTTACGATTGAAACAACTTTTCGTTCCAAGAGTGAAAGCTCCCTTCTGCTGTGAGTTTCGTGCTATGCTTCAGCCTTTTCTGCACTCCTGTGTGGTCGGTGGCTGCATGGATGCCGTGGATTGCATCTTCCAATCTGAAGATTGGTTTGCAGGGCCGCGACAGCCCATACGTTTCCCCGAGGACGGGCAACTTCCGAATGGACGACCTAAGACAGGGGACCGTACTTGTCGCTTTGATACATCGGCACCATCAGTACCATCGGCGCCTCCGTATCAAGGGGGTGGAATGACAGGAGTAAACATCAAGGATGAACAAACAACATGAATCAGCAAAAGGACTTGTTTTGGACTTGTTTTGGACTTTGCAGTGACTAAGTAACTTTTTAGTTGTAAACATGTTTTGGTTATAGGATGACTAGATAGTATGCCCATGTTAGATAAGTTGATGATGTAACTAGGTAGTGTGCTTATGTTAGATAAGTTAGACATAAACAAGTTTGTTGTAAACATATAGAGTATATAAGCGCGAGGGAAACTCCATGTATTTGCTCACAATCAACTCTCATCGCCTGAGAGTAAGATCGTGCAGTGTGAGCCAGTCACCTCGTGTATTGCTTTGTGTGGTGTGCGAATAAACCAGCATTTCAAAAGGCAATCGAGTTCGTGCTTGGTGTTCGCGTACGTCGCGGTCCGGGGTCCAGTGCAGATATCCGGAAGGGAACTCCTGGTAACCAGACAAGGCTGAGAAGCTGCTCGTGACACAGCACCACATGAAAATAAACAAATAAAATAAAGGTATTGTGTCCAACTACAACTAAAAAAAATAAAATATAAAAAACTAAAAACATAAAGAACATTTTCAATTAAATAGTTACAGAAAATGTTTCCCATTTCAGAAGTCAGATAGATATTCACATACAGGAGACTTACAGGACCCCAAATAGCCCTAGTCAAAAAAGAATCTCATCAAGACATATCATAATCAAAATTCCTAACATAGAATATAAGAATACTAAAAGCTGAAAGAGAGAAACACCACGTAATATTTAGAAGCAAACCAATAAAGCTCATTTCTGATTTCTCAGCTCAGATCCTAAAATCAAGGAGGGCCTGAAATGAGATATTCCAATCCCTAAAAGAAAACACCTGCCAGCCAAGGTTACTATAGTTAGCAAAGCTCAGTTTCAAATTTGAGAGGAAAATAAAAGTTTTCCACAACAGAACTAAACTGAAAGAATTCATGAGCACCAAGCCAGCACTACAACAAATACTCAAAGATAAATTGCACATAGAGGAACTAAAAAACATTCCCCAAACCCCAAAATAGAGGAAGCTGAGTAGAAGAATAATCCATTAAATGAGAATCAAGACAGGATTAAATATAGCAAAAAAAAAAAAAAAAGCAAAATGGCAGGAAAACACAAACACATGTCCATACTAATGCTGGATATGAAGGGTATCAACTCCCAAATTAAAAGGCACAGATTATCAGAATGAATTTAAAAATAACCATGCTGTTTACAAGAGACTCATAGGCAAAGACATCCATATGCTGAAGGCAAAAGGAAGGCAAAACATACTTCATGCATATAGGCCAAGAAAATAAACAGGAACAGCTTTTCTCTTACCTGACAAAGCACATTTCAAACAACAATTAATCAGAAGAGACAAAGAAAGCCACTATATCCTAGCCAAAGGAACTATTCAACAAGAAAGTATAATGATTGTAAATATTTTTTTAACCTTCACTTTGTTTATTTGTTATTATGTGGTGCTGAGGATCGAACCCAGGGCCTCACACGTGCTAGGCGAGCACTCTACCGCTGAGCCACAACCCCAGCCCCGATTGTAAATATTTTTGCTCCAAATATCAACACACCGGGGCTGGGGATGTGGCTCAAGCGGTAGCGTGCTCACCTGGCATGCATGCGGCCCCAGGTTCGATCCTCAACACCACATACAAACAAAGATGCTGTGTCCAGCGATAACTAAAAAAATAAATAAATAAATATTAAAATTCTCTCTCTAAAAAAAAAGAAGGGAAAAATTCATTGATGAGTTTATTAAAAAAATATCAACACACCCAATTACATGGAAAAATACTCCATGATATTAAATCCCACATAGACCCCAACACAATAATACTCAAAAATAAAGGTGATTTCAATACACCCTTATCACCATTAGACAGGTCATCAAATCATAAAATCAATAAAGATATCTCCAACCTAAACCACAATATAGATCAAATGGACCTGATGAACATCTACAGAATACTCATGCCAAAACAACTGAATTTACCTTCTTCTCATTGTACATAGAATTTTTCCCAAAATAGATCATATTCTAGGCCATAAAGCCTATTTTAGCAAATACAAAATAGTTAATATAATCCCACATATCCTATCAGACCATAATGGAATGAAGCTAGAAATCAAGAGCAAGCAAAACAATAGAAACCACATAAACACATGGAGACTGAATAAACTCTCTTAAATGAAGAATGAATCAAAGAAGAAATGAAAATAGAAATAAAGAAATTCTTAGAAATGAATGAGAACAGAGAAACAACATATCAAAATCTTATGGGACAGTATAGCAGTTCTAAAAGGGAAAATTATAGCTCTGAGTGCTTACATTAAAAAATTAAAGGGCTGGGGATATGGCTACGTTAGTGGAGTGCTTGCCTTGTGTGCACAAGGCCCTGGGTTCAATTCCCAGCACTACCGGAAAAAAAAAAGATCCCCCAAAATAAGCTTTTGCTCCACCTCAATGTTTTAGATAAAGAACAAATTAACCCTAAACCAATAGAAGACAAAATAATTAATATCTGAAACAAAATCAATGAAATTGAGAATAATAAAACCACACCTAGGATCAATGCAAGGAAGAGGTGGTTCTTTGAAAAGATAAATAAGATTGACAAACCCTTAGCCAAACTAACCAAAAGAAAGAGTGAGAAGACACAAATCAACAAGATCAGAGATGAGAAAGGAGACATCACCACAGACCCTTTTGAAATCCAGTAAATTATCAGAACTATTTTGAAAATTTATACTCCAATAAACTGGAAAATCTGGAAATCATTGACAAATATCTAGACACATATGACCTGCACAAATAGAATTAGGAAGATATAGAAAACCTAAATAGACCAATATTAAGTAATGTATTTGAAACAGCAATTAAAAGTCTTCCAAAAAATAAAAGCCCCGGACCTGATGTGTTTTCAGCTGAGTTCTACTGGACCTTTACAGAAGAAATAACACCAATCTTTCTCAAATTATTTCACGAAATTTAAGGAGAGAGAACACTCTGAAATATGTTTTATGAAGTCAGTATAACCCTCATACCAAAACCGGACAAAGACACATCAAGGAAAGAAAATTACAGACCAACATCCTTGATAAAAATAGATGCAAAAATCCTTAATAAAACATTAGCAAACTGCATTCAAAAGCACATCAAAAAGATAATACACTAATAAATTTGTTTATTCCAGGGATGTAAGCATATGCAAATCAATAAATGTAATTCATCACTTAAACAGAGTTAAGAACAAAAATCAAATGACCATCTCAATAGATGCAGAAAAGGCCTTTGATAAAATCCAATCCCCATTCAGGTTAAAAACACTGGAGAGGTTAGTGTTCAAAGGAACTTACCTCAATCTGGTAAAGGCCGTTTATGACAAAGCCAACATACTAAATGAAGAAAAAACTAAAAGCTAATATATAAATTAAAAGCTAATATTATATATAATTAAAGGCTAATATATACATACATTATCTATATACATATATACATAATTATATATATACATATATACATAATTATATATACATATATACATAGTTATATATACATATATACATAATTATATATACATATACACATAATTATATATATATATATATATATATAAAATGAAGTTCTACTAAACCATAAAAAAGAATGAAACTATATCATTTGCCAGTAAATAGATGGAAATAGTGAAATTAGGCAAACTCAGAAATTCAAAGGTCAAATATTTTCTCTCATATGTAGAACCTAGAGTAAAATAAAGGAAAGAGGGGGGAGGATAGGATAATATAAAGAACCAATCAAATATAAATTAATTGACATCAAAAGGAACTTTAATATAGTAGAGGAGGGAAAATGAGAGAGGGGAGGAAGAATCAGAAGGAAGAGGGGGAATGAAAAGTGGGGATCATGAACTAAAATTGATCTCCATGCTTGTGCGAGTTTGTCTGGATGAACCCAGCTAGTATGTATAACTATAAAACTCTAATAAATGAAACAAAAAAGAAATAAGAGAAAAATAGCAGTGAGAAAAGGGGGGGAGAGCTCATTTAAAATAGCACTTAAGAGAAAGAACACAATTAACATATTTAAATTATACCCTCTTTTATAAAGAAATGTAAAGGTTGTAGAACACACTACTTAAACCATCTATAATATTTATTGCTTTTATGACTGTTTTGGTATTTATTCATACGTTATTTTATCTGTTTCAGTGTGCTATGAGATAATCTGTGTTAAACAAATTTAGAAAAGAACAATAAGCAGAGGTCAAGAAGACAGATTCTTGTGCCAGCTCTGCAAGTAAACAACCACCAGGGGAAATGCCTCATCCTGTCTTGGGTTTGGTTTTTCCATTTGTAGCATGGGAGTTTTGACATGATCATCTCTAGGGTCATTTGGCTTTGATATCTGAAGCTGAGGACTTGATGAAATAAAGGATCTTTTCTTATTTGTCTAAATATTACTTAGGATCATGATCAGTCAGGTGTGCCAAGTTGGTGCACTCCAGCTACTGGAATCCTTTTCAATGACCTCAAATAAGCTTTGTGCTTTAAAAAAATTGTTCTTACCTGTGGATGGAAATGGTACATCTTTATTTTCTCTCCTTATATGGGAAATTCCTTTTCCATCACTAAATTCCTTAGGAGGATAAGGAAGTACTCCATGTGTCTGCCTTGTTCAAGTTTAGCTGCAATCTTAGGGATTTGCTTGTTGATCCAGCCTGTGTGGTCTCCCTTGAATTTTTAAGCATGTTGATAATATAATGTCAAATTGGAAATTACTAATGACTCCTTGACAATTTTCATGTCAGTTGTGACAAAAACCTCATTTCCTTCCTATAGGTTCTCTTTACTCTGATCCCTCAAATAACATACAATTGCAAGAACTTTTCATCTTGGAGTCTGGTTGGCTTCCACATAATTGACTAGATTAAGATGTCTTTCTCCTAACTGTGATCCTATTGATTTGTAGTGCAATTACCTCAGACACAGTGTGTGGTCCTTGATGTTAACCCCCCCTCCAAATATTAGTCTGGAACTGATGAAATCACTCCTCTGCGATATGTAAATAGCAATGGTTAATTTTTCCCAATTGAGGGGAAAACACTGACAGGACTGACAAGCCAGGCCCATTCTATATGTATTAGCCATTCTTTGTCATGACCCAGCCCAGATGTCTTCTCTTCCTCTGAAGTTTCATGATCATTTTTCAGTGCCTAGACAGAATGTCTGCAACCTTAAATGTACAAGATTCAGATCCAGATATTTATCATCTGGGGTGTGTGTGTGTGTGTGTGTGTGTGTGTATGAAAGAGAAAGAGGGGGTGATTAAATGGTCCAAGGCACTAGGATAAAGCACAGCTATTCATTCTCAATATAATCTGCATTAATTCAGTAGCCCCTAGCCACAAGTAACTATTTAAATTTAA